CTTGGTTCCTAATTCTGTAGCATAGGACCTTTTCCTCTGGTGCGACTCTGGCGGCCAGGTTGGTGGATCCTTCTTGCTCCAGTGTTTTTCGACTGGTTCTTCGGTCTCCGATTTCTGACTTTTCCACAGTATCGTCAAAGATCTTCACTACCTCCTTACTCGGGTCTTGCCAAACGGGTTCAATTATTCTGGTTCCTTGGATTTGGATCGCCCAAGAGCTTTTATTTCGAGATGGTAGTACCAAGATTACAGGTTATATACCCAATCAATCGTTGAATAATTGTTACAGAAAACAGGCCTATTTTTCTAAAAACGTCTTGGGTGGGATTCGAACTCTAGATCTGCCGCTTGGTGAGTGACAACCTAACCACTACTCTAAGTCGCCACACTCTTCAGATCCCAAATACTAATCTATATTACTAATCAATTAACACAATTCCAATTTTGTTTCATCTATTTTTTATATAAAAAACCTTTACTATTTCGGTACTAATTAAATTTACACAAATTTTAGCTTCCAACGATTCTGTCGATCTGCTGATCACTATATTGTGTGATACCTTATTTGTCACACCTCTTTATTTATCACATTCTCTTATTTGGCATGCCTCTTATTTGTCACACCCTCTTATTCATCACACCTCTTTACTAAAACTTCTATCTATTCTTCTACATTATGCCCACTTTAATCTCTGAAGATCTGGATTCTTACAATCTCGATTACTACTATAAAAATTATCATGATCAATACGGAGTAGAGATTACAGAAAAAGACCCTAAAAATCTCAAAGTACTTCCACATGCTTTCAAACCTGAAGCTTGTGATCCAACAAAAAAGCACTTCTTTTAAGTACCTCACCAACCTTCCATTGGCAAATGCTATTGTGGTAAATACCACACTAGCTTTACCTTAGCAAATTACAGAATTACATATACAGAGCATACAACTGTTGGTCAACCTGCAATTACATCTACTGACATCTCTATAAATCAACTGACCAAAAAGTGTGATAACCTACCAAAATCTCCTACTACTAAACAACCTGCCCAGGACCAACTCGAACAAGCCAATCCATGTTTACTTTTTCTTAGTTACTGGACTGACCCCAATTCTGTTGCTATTGTTTCACATTCACAACATTACCATACTTGCATATTCTTCAGGAAAAAAACTCTTCCCTGTGTATCAACAGGCCAACACGAGCATGCGCCAGACTACCTTGTATACGACCTTATTAAAAACCGATTAATTCACAGAGAATGTAAATTATATATTCACAATATGAAGCTTACACCTATCTATCCAGCTCTATCTAAACTCGAATTCTACTATAAAATAATTATTGCTCGCATTAAAGCTCAAAACAAGAAATCTACCCATCAAGAAAAAATTATAATTTCTTTAATCAAACTCCGAGAACTTTTCTTTAAAGAAAAAGGTCTAATCTTGTCATCATTATTTCCAAAAAACCAGACACACAACAACAACAAAAAGACCAAGAAAACAAATCAGAACAACAACAGCAACAACAACACCAATACCAACAACACAATGAGATCAAGAACAGAACATTAATAAACAACAACAGCAAAACCAAACACAAAGACCTACTAGAGATACATCCAATGATCTAGATTGGTTTAAAGAATATCTAATTTCCGAAAACATGCAACTTTATACAAAATTTGACAACCCTCTTGCATATCAACTTTTCGATTTTATTAAACCATATTTAATCGATATCTACCCAGGCAAAGTAACCAAAAAGGCAGAAGGTGATAAACCAGAATCTAAATTTACTTATAAATATTTATTTAACAAATTAGCAGGCCTTAGGTCTAAATTTCATACGACTTTATTTACCAAAATAATCCAGACATTGATAATGCTATTTAATTCCATTTAATATCCTCTACTCTACATTAATCCTATTACTTAAAGAATTTACTACAACTCTCTTTACACAAATTGATTACTCTAAAGTTTTAACTGCATATAACACTATCCCACCATATAGCATGAAAAATCTATTCTAATTTATCTGGTTTTTCCAGTTAATATCTAATAAAACTGGTAAATTCTTTTAATTCCAGAAATTTTTCAGTTATGAGCACACTGATTTCCAGAATATTTTAAAAGTAGTGGAAATTTTATTTAATAAAATTTGTAGTTTATTTTTATTTTAGCTAATTATATATAGAAAAAATAGAATTTACTAACATTTTTATTATTAATGATTTCAACATTTAACCCCTATATGCCTTATTTGATTACTCCAAATTGTATATGCGCGTGTATAGTTAAAATTTTTGCTTTCTGGTCCTTCTAAAGAAATATGCATTAGCATATCTAGTGTATCTGTGGTTAATAAATTTCTATCCTTTGTTTTAATTTTATTTTATTTGCTAAAACCACGCTCACATTCTACACTAGAAAAGGGAATACAATAGACTATCTGAATTAATTTAATGATATTGGGAAATACATTGTTATAATCTTAAATTAATAAAGGAAGTAATACCTCAATATTATTAGAGGAAAAATTATTAGTAGTTATCATTTTAAACCCTGCCCATTCTTCTCTACATTTTTTAATATCAAAAAGTGCAGAAAATTGAATATTATCATGGAAATTTGGTCACTCAAAATACTTTAATAAAATTTTTAGATCATTATCTCCAAAAAATAATAATTCTTGAGGATTATTTGGCCATTCACGTGGATTTAATATTTTCATAGAAGTAAATAATTGCCGATTAGGAAATCTATGCTGAAGTTCATTAATAACATTTGTTGAATAATCATATACATCCATTATAAATTCATCGTAATCTTGTTCAATAAAAGAAAGGTTATTGTCCAAATATGTTATTAAAGAATTTTCAAATAGATTAGTTTTGTCTATAAATATTTGAACATTTTGTCCAAATCTTTGATTTTGATCTATTAGAATATACTCCTTTTGAATAGAATGAATTGTAGCTTGTATCATAGGATCAATATCAGAAAATTTTAAATTTCTTTTTTGTAAAAATTTACTCAATTGTGTTACATGTTCTAAAATATCGTAAAAGTAAAATAAAAATGCTAGTTGCTTATATAATTCTTGTCCATCATTATCTTTTGATTCTTTAAAAAGTTTAAGTAATGCTGGAATTGAATTGCAGATATTTTTAATAGCTTCATACTATACAAGCCAATGTATCTCATATAATTTTTTTATTTTTAAAGTTGGATCATCTAAAATATTTTAAATTTCCTGTAATTGTTGAATGCGTGAACATGAATTTTTAAAATAATTATAAATTCTTTTAACTAAAGATTCAACTTCTCCATAAAATTTAACTTCTTTTTTTGCATCTTTATATGCTAGAGCTAATCTATGAGCAACGCAGTGATTAACAATCAAAGGATAGGTGCATATTCTAGAAAACTTTGCAGCTACACCTTCATTTTTTCCTAGCATAACAGAAGCACCATCAGAGACAAATGCTACAAGTTTAGATAAAATATTTTTTTTCTTAAAAATATCAACTAAAACCTTAGTAATACCCTCTGCATCACAACTAGTTAAAGGTACAATACATAAAAAATGTGTCTTTAAGATTCCTTCTTTAGTTATATATGAAATATATATATCTAAATTCTTTGTAGTAGTAATGTCTGTACTTTCATCAATCATTATGCCAAATGCTACAACATCATATAATTCATTCCAAATTTCTTCTTTAATAGTATTTGATATTGCCTCCAAAAATTCATGACCTAAAATATTATTTGTATATGTAATTGTATCACTAAAAAGATCTGATGAACCTGATTCTTTCAATAATTCAACAACTGATAGTAAAAGTTTAAGAGCCAAATTTTTTTTTGCTAAAAAATAAACAGTTCGCATTACACAAATAATATGATTTGTATTTGCATTAGAAGAAATGAATTCTTTTTGTAATGATTCCATATGTATTCTTGAACTTTCTAATTTTTCTGCATTATTATGATCTTCAGTATTTATATGTTCTCTAATTGCTGATTTTCTTGAAATATTTGTTGCACCTTCTGTAGCAAATTTATTTTTTTTTATGTCGTATATATAATATACAATACATTTTTTTTTGATTTTCATTATAATGTAACCAAGAAAATTCAGTTAACCATTTGAGTTTGAAAGTTTTATTATTGTTTATACAAGATTTTTTAATATTATTATTAGGATTATCTTCGTTATCAAAATTTTGATCATT